GGGTTCCGCTTACCTGCCCTCCCCTGCGCCCCCGCCACTGGGGCTGCAGGCGGACGTCTGGCGCCCTCTGCCGGGCGACCGCCTCGGCGCCGGCGGCTCGGGGAGCAGGTGGGCCCCGAACCACGTGGGCAGGCGCCGCCCTCCAGCAGGAGCCAGAGGCGTGAACCGAGCAAGGCCTCGTCGGTTCCGGGGGCCGCTCGGGGTCGGGTTGAGGTCAGCGGGGTCTCTCTCCGTGCACTTGAGAACAGCCCCCACCAAGAACGCTACGCAGCTGCGTGCCCCCACCAGCAGCCTCGTGCCCTTCACCCCAGGAATCCTCCCAGCCTCTGAAGGAATCGGTTGATTTGCTGAGCACTTGTTATACACAGGTGATCCCAGGGCAGTGGCTGACCGGCCGCTGCATCTGCTAGGTGGTGGGCACCGGGGCACGGCCAAGAGAGCGAGAGGTGGGGCTCACTTCTAACAAAAGCCCTTCAGCAGCTGGGCTGGGGGTAAATGACTTCACGTAGTTTTCTCAGGGGCCGGCAGGTCTCCGGATCTTCTTGCCCTGCCCCACTCTGAAGACCCCAAGGTTCAAGATCGCGGCAAAGGTCAGGTAAACTTCACTTCGCAGAGGAAAACTGCCAACTTGGCAGTTCCGTAAATGCGGGGTCAAGGTTTTCAACGGGGGCAAGGCAGGATCCGACCACCAGAGGGCGGCAGCGACTGCCCGCAGAAGCCAAGACCACAGCCGGAGCTGGGAAGAGGCCAGGACGCACTCCAAGACAGTTGAGGGGAAACCCGCTCCCGTCACCGGGCAGAGGGACATCTCCCGGGTCAAGCACCCCTAGACAAATTTACAGCAACTCACCCTTTCCTTTTTTGCAACATGTTTATTGAGAGACAATTGTGTTCCTGCCTGCGAGGACCCCACAGTTTACGGGGAGCTCGGGAGATGTGAACAATATAAAGGTTAGAGATAAGAACCCTGTTGGCCTTGGAGAAAACCGAGCACCGACTGGCACGTGAACTGCCTGGCAGTGTCAGAGGGCAGGCCAGCATAAGCAGGACGAGAACCTGGCCTGGGCCAATGCACAGCGGCTAGAATGCCCTCTTCAGGCTCTGTGGTGGCCGAGCAGTGCAGAGGTAGGCCAGCAGGGTTGTCAAGGTTACCAGGGTGCGATCACAGAGGGGCTGACGGCCAGGTCCTCGGGGGTGGTGGACAGAAGGCTCCTGGGAAGGAGGAACCCGGCCAAGCCAGGCCTATGCTCTCTTGGGGTGACCAAGGAGGAGGCCAAGCCAATGGAGTGATGGTCACCCAAGAAGAGGGAAGAGGACCACTTACCTTTTGCAGCCCGGGTTCCTCCCTCTGGCTGCCTTGGGGACCCTGAAACTCAGGTCTGAGAGGAAGGAAGCCTGCCCCCCCCCCCCGCAAAGAATCTAGGGAGAATTCACTTAGAAGGGCCACCCAAGCCCGGCAAGCCACACGAGCCTGCAGGAGGCACCTCAACTGTCCTCAAAATCCTCAGACCTGCATTCCCTCTCTCACCATCTACGAAATGGGGCTGTGGTCCCTACTTAGGACAAGGTTGCACAAAACGGGAGGGAGGGTGAACAAGAGCACATCTTTCTAGCCCAGCCCGAGTCCAGGCAGAACAGCTGACATTGGCCCTGGGCTGCCCACCCACCCCTGCCGGCCAGGAGGCTGGCAGAACCCCAGCCGCATCCGGCCTGGAGCGCGTTTGATTTGGACCTGGCTCTCGTGATGGTGGGGCTGGATCTGTAGCTAAAAATACCGAGGAGCCAAGCCAGCTGCTCAGAGCTTCCTCAGCAGAGGCTGGGCCCACGGGGAGGCTGCTCCCTTACCTGCCAGAGGCTGAGGACCCACACCATTCTTCTGTTCACCAGGAATTCCTGGAGAGGGAGAGAGGCAAAAAAGGTGCTTGAAGCTGAGTTCCTGACGAGTCAGTGGGACACCGAGGCCTCTGGGGACTGCCAGGTGGCGTCTGTGTCCACAAGAAGGCCCAAGGAAGGGGGGGCCCAGGCCAGACAACCGGGTCAGGAAGGGGGGCGAGTGCCAGTGGCACCGTGTCCCCGGGTGTCTCGGAAGCCACGAGAGGTGCCCACCCACGTGAGGAGGAAGACACTGCACGTTCAGAGATGAAGCCACTCTGAGGTGTCGTGGCCAGGGAGCACAGGGCTGTCTGTCTACCAGTCTGCGGATGCCCCCAGGCCTCAGTCGTCCCTGAGCACCCGGGGGTGGCTGGGGACAGGAGAGTCAGTTCTGGAGTACAAAATCCTCCCTCCCCAAGCCAGACTCAAAGGCTAGCACCGGACTTGCTCCGCCCAGCAGCGCACAGGGCAGGAACTCGCAGAAGTCAGGCCAGCTGGAGGGCGCTGGCGAGCCAGGTGACCCCACGGCGTGAGGCCGCTTCTCCACCGCGGGCATCTCCACCCAGAGGGTCCAGAAGGTCATGTTCCTTGCTGGGGCTTCTGGAGGAGGGGCCGGAAGAGGCGGGGACGCTGGCGACTCAGTCGTAAGGCAAGTCCAGCCACCTCCCAGCGGCCGCCCTTCCGCTGGCGTGGCCCTCTCTGGCAGGCCCCAGGGCCGGCGGCCCGCGGCGCCGCCCCGGGGC